TTACTTCACGGGTATTGTAGCAGGGGTTGCGGAGCGTACACACAGAGTGTTAACTTTATGAAAAATATACAGGGTGTTAATAAAGCACAAGACTCAACGTCAAGGGATGATCCAAGAAAACTAGAAGTTTGCTCATGTCCAACCCATCCTGAAGAAGGGATCTAAGACCGATTCTTACATCTACAGGCCTATAGTCCTGTTTGCTGTTATAAGAAGGTGATGGAAAGATGCATAGATCAGTGAGCTTCTGGACTACCCTCGAACGTTACGGCTTCATTAGCTACAGGCGGTTTCCGGCACCAGCGATTCACAGGGGACCTCCTAACTGACGTCATGCAGTTGTAGAGTGAACTCATCGAGTTTTATGGTGAGGGTCATGTCGATGCTCCTGATATCACGAAAGCGTTCAATCAGCGGTGACATGCTGTCCTCTTATGCAAACTTCCATCCTGTAGCTTCCAGAGAAGCTTTACAGTTGGGTGACTGACGTAATTGACAGGTTCCCCTCTTCAACCCACAACGTCAATGCGGGGTGTTCTTCAGGGATCTGTCTTGGCTCCGATACTGTCCCTCTTATATATCAACGACCTCCTTTCCTGTACGATTAATCCAGTCCACAGCTTAACCGATGACTGCATTCTACATGCAGGTCTTGAGAGTGACAAGACGTTCTTGACCGGTGAGCTGGAAAAAGGAGACTAGTAGCTACTTCCTCTGTGATGCGGGACTTGGAGGTTATCACTGCTTGGGAATGCAATAATCTTGTACAGTTTAATGCTTTCAAAACGCAGTACTGTACCTTGACGGACCATAGCGCGTCCTTGCGCTCATCTCGTTTCGATGGGTGGTCGAGTTCTGCCAAAGAGCCGATCATCCAGTACTTGATCTGGCACGAACACATGTCGTCAATAGTGTCAGCTGCTGCGGAATAGCTAAGCTATTCGTTTAGGATTAAAGAGTACTTTTCTCCAGTTGACCTCGTCACTTCAGATATACCCGCCTGACCGGCCTCTCGTCCTAACCGTGTAGAACTTTTTCCCGGTTCTACCAACCTCAGGCAGTTCATAAAATGGCTTGACCTCCCAGCTTAATGCCTAAGAAGATCCAATGCGCTTAAGCTTATGAAAAACACGTTTTTAAAAACAAGCTGTTCATAAAATAAACGCAAGATTTAAAAAAAGTCTTCAAATAAAGCCTGTTACACCCCTTTTTCATCCTGCTTCTATGTGAACATGCGGTGAAGGAGCTTCAAGCTTCATTATAATTTAATATTTCCGATCGGAAAAAATATATTTAATTTCGTGGTTTGTTTTATGAACAGCTAAATAAAGCCTTGTTTTGAATGTGTTTTTTATTTATTTATGTTTTCCATTTTAGTATCTATGATGTTTGGTAATTTCTATATAACTTCCATATATTTTATTAATAGGAATCCATAGAACTTCTCACCTCATTTGCATTAAAATATTTAGGCAGATATATACCATATAATGATAAATCAATATTTTGCGGCGATCGTCATATGGAATTAAGAATGACGTTATTCGCTTATCGTGTTTCTCCCATTACGCCCTTTTTTGATACCCATATCATAACAGTGACTATGGGAATTATAACTCGCCGTCTCCGGTGGCCGCCATATTAGATTTAGAATGACATCAGCATGGTATGGAGCCTTGTTACCTGCAAGGCCTCTCGGAAGAGCTTAGTAAAACTTAAATTCAATAATGTTTAGTAGTTTGTTTGTTTTATTTATTCAGTAAATAAAGGAATAGCTTTATTTGCTATAGAGGCCTTCCGTGGTTCACCTACCACGCTTTTATTTATTTTTTGTCAAACTGTGTTACTTTCTCATCTAAGTTGTAGAAATAATGTATCTACTGGTTCTTTTGGAATTATTATCTGCTAAATTGTTATATACCTTTATGCAACTCCCGGTGGTAGTATCCATATAGATATTTTAAAACAAGCTGAGACCCTGTCCAAGCTCTCAGTATGGACGTTTTCCTTTAAAAGAGCGGACAAAAAATACCATTATTTAATGATATCCACCAATGTTCAGTTAACTCTGTCTCAAATGACACATGTTTCGTCAGCTGAGAGAAAACAAGACCAGACCAGTTGTGGCATCATTTTCTAAAAAAGGAATGGAGAAGCAACTTCCACTATACAGCGATTCTTGGAAGATGTTTTTTCGTCAAGTTAAAAATAATAAGGGTATACAGAATAAGGAGACCAATGGTCAATAGTATCACAATCCGATTGTAAACTGCATTTCATCATCAATTAAGTGTTACCGTCTCTGCGCAAATGATACAGAATCTACTTGAAAACAGAAATGATCATGTCAAAAGCTTACGTAAGAAAGAACTGCTTAACAAAATACATTCAATAAAAAAGTATATAAAAATGGCGTCAAGTAGATTGACTGTACTTCCTACGCTTTCCTTGAAGGTTTCAAAGAAAAGGGATCAGTCAAATCGTCTCAAAAGACGAAATCGAATCGTGATTAGGTAGGTACACTTAGACGAATCTCCGACCTTAGCATATCAATTATATAAAGCAAATCTATCATATTTCTGTTAATAGGGCAGATGTAGGGAAAGAATAATAAGTAAATTTTATAAATGTTCCACATAGCGCTAATAAAACAAATTTAGTGATGCCCAAAAATAATAAACTCGTATAAGATGATACCAGTAAAAATCTATTATGAAACGAATTTGTTCAGTAAGCTACAATGTCCGTATAAAAATTGTTGTTTAACCATTTATGAAACAATATTAAAATCTGTTGTAAAACTGTTTTGTATTTTTGATCTAAGAACGTTCTTACGACTAACCTATAAAGCAGAATCCTTCTTAAAAGCTCAATTGTCTGACTGCAATTAACTAAAACAATATTGCGTTCTAAGAACAGTAATAAAGGAATTATAAAATAAAATAGCACAGACAGTTGAAAACTATGATATACCTAATAGGTATTCTGAGATTGAAGGTGTTGCTACATATAATAATAATAATAATAATAATATGCCTTTATTTTACCTTTATATCCCATATATTAAACAAAAAACTTTCTTGCGCAGTAAAATATCAACCATCAGATTACAAAGAGAATTTCTGTCTGTCTGGTATTGGATACATGTATATATATATATATCAGAACTAAATGCAACATGACTGATGTAGTTACTCAAACATATTGTATTTGCTAAGAAGATTTAATGCTTGCGCTTTTGTTGTATCAAGGATCATTAAACAACAAATTATTCTCAGTGGGTTCAATTCAAGAACAAGAGCAAAGTTTTAGTTTTGTAGTATTAAGAGGCTAATTCTTTTAGTTTTGTTTTCCACTCGATTTTTCTAACAAAAATTAATGAAAGAATTTTAACCAGTGACATGCAATGCAGCGGTTTTTATTTTATTTCTCAAAGACTGAGTGAGATACGAAAAAATACAAGAGACAAAGAAGTTGTATTTTTAGATGATTTATCAAACCAACAAATATTAAAGTTACAAGAAAGGCGTCCATTTGTTGCCAATAATGTTCGATAGATGCCCCCGGGACGCCACTGGTCCTAATAATTTTATTATACTCAGGGTTAGCCTCTTAATACAACGAATAATACTGCCAAATTTCAACAGAAGTAAATAAAATTTAATTTATCACCTGTATCTTGAAAACTGCATTTTCGAACTCATAATTACTTTTTTCATATTTTTTCACAAGGAATCACCCCTAAAATATCTCCGTCTATTTTTTGGACACCCTGTATAATGCTTTACCTAAATTGTATAAGCAATACTCATTACTTTCCCAACCATTTTTGTTTTGCTTCTCTACCTCTCTCTCTCGCTTATGGCAATAATTTATAACTAGAAATACAAATTTGTTTTGAGTAATATTTCATTACTATTAACGCTAAATTTCACTATATAAGTATTGCCTTAGCTGCATTACAATGTTGTAAAAAATTAATGACGTCTATTATTATTATAGACCAAAACGGCCAAAAACGAAAGAAATAGATATCCTTCGACCTCCGTTGTTTGACATTCAGTGGCTCTTGATCATTTTTAGGAAACATTTTTGTAGGGGGTTATAAACTGGGAGTTTGGGGTGTTAGGTTTGGGGAAGGAACCTTGGTAATTCTACGCACATATTTTACAAATCATAGACTTCCCCATAAGTTTGCCCTTGAACAATAGAAAAGTGTTTTCGATACATCTGCTCCCTGCATTCACCGCCGAGCATACCGATCTTCATAAGTGTCCTGGCACGACTGACACCGTGCCGCACTACCGCGTCAGACACCTCGTGCGATCTCGTATCGTCCGACCAACTATTTAAAGCAGTTTCGTATTTTTGGCAACTCATCAGCATGATCTAGGCTTGTCTCTGAGTCGACGAATGAAACTATCCTCTATCCAGGATATAGTAATCTATGGCGCTGTTTTATTTTGATAGAGCCTAATTTGTGTTAAACTGATGATTTGCGTTGCATAGGATGTGCATAGTCAGCCTCCTGATGCCTTTTTTATCCACTCGAGTCAATTTTATTTTTATTACAAGCTTAATAATAGTTGAATGTCATAATAATACTGTGATATAAAATCAGCCTGATAGAGATAAATAATTTCCCTTATCGAATTCTGTACGTGCTTTATTTAAACGGTCTTCTTTATGTGTTATGAAATACGCAGAATTCCAGGGGATCTTTTCACCGGGAAGCCGATAAAGATTATCAGTTACCTTTATTGAAACGAAAAACATGCATCGTATTTGTTTTTAGTAATCTCCATGTTATGAATGCCGATCCCATTAGGGTTATTCTAAATGGACATTTAGATAATTCATTTACTAGGCGTCAAATGCCAAGGCTTGTTTATAATGATAAAAAAATGATTGAGCTATTGTTCTTCCACAATATTTAGATCAGCGGATCGCCAAACTAACCAGTCTAAGCTTCTCATCGGTGCCTACATGATGATACAGAGATGGCGACTATCGTTGGTGAACCCCAGGCCAGTTCATCCAAGCCCGCCAAAAAGGTCAAGTTCTATATACCAGATGATGATGATGACGACGACGATTTGGTGCTACTTCCCAGAGTCGTGGTTCCACATCAACAGGGGATCCTGCACAAGCTTCTACGTCCAACAGCACAAGGAGAGACGCCAAAGAAGAAATGGTATCATAAGTTCGCACAGTTCTTCACTCGTAAGAGAGAGGCCTCTACAGATAACCGTAAATAGAACAACCAATCTTTATCTATGTTAAGCTGCATTTACGAATATACTTCGATTCACCAGTTTATTCCTGAAAATCGTCTGATTGGTCTGAAGAAAGCCGAATTATATCAACTATTCCTGAAGAAATGTTGATCAAACTATAATCCTCATCCTCTGAAAACGTACTGGCTGAATATATCAGAGATGTCAACAAGCCCTTCCAGATGAAACTGAGCCTACCGACATAGGAAGACATATATTAATGTAACATCAAATAAAAATGATTCAACTGTATTATCAGCTATATTTCAGAATTTAAATAAATCATTGTAAACATACCAAGGGCGGATTTCTCAATTTAACAAACCATTATTCTGCACCAATCGGGTACGAGTACTAAACAGTCCGTCAAACATACCCAATCAGCCTCAAGATCTATCCGTCAAATTTTTGGCAGCAAATAGCATCAAAGTGTTCAAAACAAAACACTGTAAAATATGAAGTGACAGCTTGCCATTGAACTATTTGCAGTTTATTAAATATTGTGAAATTGTATAAAACTGAGCCAAAATTAAAAAAAATGCTTGATGGCTGAGTAAAATACACTTTTTTCAGTTTAGCTTAAGGTTTCTCCAAGTTTATTGCAACTTTTGTAATCCATATGTGATTATATTAACTCAACATCACCTACTTTGTGTTAATAGTTTATCCTACATTTGCAAACTTGCACTTCCAAATTCTTACATGAAAAAGCCTTTTCACTAAAATTTTTGTTAGGTGTTGCGTTTCAACACATTCATACATTTCTTTCTAATTCTTCAACGACATTTTGACATCACTGGTCCGAAACTGTTCAAAATTTCATTCATACATTCAATTGCAGTTGCGGTTTTTTGTTTTTAACAGATCGCACTATCGGTGATGGTACATGGTATATGGTACACTCAACATAAACACGTATTTTGGGGTTAGGTGTACACGACAGTGTAATATGTAATTCTGCACAAGAAAGATCTGCTGCGCTATCTCCCCAGCCAACATACAGTGGAAGCAGGAAGCTTTTACTGTAGTCATGTTTTTGTACCGAAGCAGCCGGGTCTGTATGGCAGGCACATCGCGCGGCGCGGCGGCATCATGGAGGAGAACTCTGACGAGCAAAGCCCGTTGGTGTAGCGGTAGAAGAGAACTTGATCGCCGACGGCCGCCTTCTCTGGACAACATCGAGCACAGATAATATAGTCGGGCCGGCGGCACCCCAATCGTGTGAGCAATACTCGAGGCTAGGCCTTTTCTGGTCCTTGTATAGAGTGAGAAGGTCATGCGGCAGTACTTCTTAGCCCGAAACAAATAGCCTAGTTTTTCCCAGCAGCTGCCGCTACTGACAAGATGTGTTCGTGAGCTTCGGTGATTTGGACTACGACAAGCCGAAATGAACGGCTCTTTGGCCGGACCCGGCCATCCTTCGGAACCGTATGAGCACTAGGACGCTTTTTGCTCGTCACGGTACAGTGCTGTGTTTGGAAGCATTACACTGTACAAGATTGTTGCGTCCCCAGGTCTCTCGTCAGAGAGGAAGTCGTCGATAATCTTCTTTTTTAATTCCTGCGTGTTGAGTGCTGTCATCAGCGAAGCTGTGGATTGGGTTGTCAACCAGTCGAATTGTCTGTAGAAATTGTAAACAATGAAAGAAATTACAAAGTTCAGATTGAAACGATATATATTTCCTGAAAAGACAGTTCCGTATTCTATGTAAAAGAATCCCACGAAAAGAGAGGTCGGTTACCGTATATGTTACCTCTTAGGACTACAAGAAGTCGTACACTTGCATTCAGATATGCTAGGTCTAATATTACACAATTTACTGGGCAAAGTGACGTTTTACGAAAGAAGGGGGGCCCCCAGATATGTCTATGACATTACCTTACCTAGGTAAGTATGTGCACTGAAAGGTAAAACATATACAAAGTTATCTTAACTAGTGGATAATCTTACAACAAACTAATCTGGTACTCTATATTTCAGTTGTCAAAGAAACCTGAAGTCTTATATAAACTTTACAGCCTAGTCTGACCTGTAATCTCTGGAATAACCTGTTGGAGGTCCCTTGGTGGTGTTAACCAGTCCTCATATGGTAAAATGTAGGAATGTAGCAGAAAGCCAGCCAAAGCGGTACAACGTTAAGGTTTCAAGCGATGCCAGGCTCAATGCAGTAGGTTATATTCTGAGGTTGCAGAATGGAGCTCAGGTCGAATCATGGTATCAGTTATGTACCAAGAATGCAGAAGAAAACATACAGGAAGTAGAAGACGTTGGAGGAAAGAAGAAGCAGAGAAAAAGAGAAAATAATAAGAAAAGGCCTGTGGACAAAAGTCAAGCATAAGCTACATGCACTACAAAGCAATTAATCAGGCACTACATGAGTGCTTCAAGCATAAGCCACAGGCAGCAATAGAATGGTAAGCTACCTACCTAGGGGGTAGGGTGGCCTTTAAAGTGGTGGGAAATCTTCAAATCTTAGAGATCCAATAATAGTGTGTGTGTAACGTCTACAGCAATTGAAATTGTGAAGATTTTCCTTTTTTCCAGCTATTTTTCGAAACTAAATCCGTACTTGCGAA